AAAAAAGTGTAAGACATCACTAAGGTGTAAAGAACAAATCCAGCAAAAACAATATTCAAGTATTCCACAAGCAATGCAGGATTCAAATTTATTACATTACTAATATCATGATTATTTATGATTAGTCATCTAGGTTTGAGTAAAAGTAGTAAATTAGCATTCAACCCAATTTTATGAAATATTGTCTAAAAGTTATTTAAAGTATAGGAGCTTTTGACAAAAATTATTGAATAGACAATAAAATGTAAGGGAGAGTTTAATGAAATGTTGAGAATGACACAAATGGTTTGATGAAAATACTTAGGTTTGTTCAAAACAGCATCTTTGATAAAAGCAGGATAATTTGCAGAGTTTCAGTCTCTCACCCCAGCACAACAGTAAACATCTATACCATTGGATTAAGATACTATGTTGAGCTTCCCTCTTCAGTTTTAAAAGAATCTGGTCCTACACTTCTTCAGTCATGGCCATTCTCAGTAATCTGCTTGAGTTGTTGCCTTACTTGAAATAACATTAGAGTCTGTCTCTAATGAGAGGTGCATGTAAATACACCTTCATCTCTCTAAGGCCTCACCACTGGGTTTTTTTTAAAAAGTTCCTTCATTACCAATGAATCACATTTTCACCTGTTTCTCCCATCCAAGTACTAACCAGGCCCAATCCTGCTTAGCTTCAAGATCAGGCAAGTCTAGTGTGATAATGGTCACAAACATGTTTGCATTTTATTTCTGCTGTGTTTTCTTGGAGATTTAGATTTTGGATACATAAGTAAGAACTTAGTGTCCTCAACAATCAGTAGCAGCCTTCTTGGCATGACTCATTTCTATAACAAGGAAGAAAGGTAAACCAGATGACATTTCTAGGGTTTTTCCAGACTTGTGATATGACCATTAGGAGAATGTTTTATGATTGGAATTGGTGAGCTCCTTTCATGGGATTTATCATAACATGTGAGCATAGACTTTTAGGCTACACATCTCATACCGTGCCTAAGACACTCCAAGGCTAATAAATGTTTTATCATTCTCCGCTAGGTAGCTCCGAAGGCCAGAGAACTGCTCTGGTGAAGCCAAGTCACAGACCCCTACCCCAGTAGAGGTCAGTTTATGTCAAACAAAGAAAATATCTGTTCTCTGGCTAATGCTTACAACTTGAGTCTCAACCAGGTTTCGGCTGCAGTAAAATTCTGACAGTTTACTCTTGATCATAGGAGGAACCAGGAAAAAGAATGTGGGTGATCAATGCAAAACCATCACCACTCTTGAAAAAGATTCTAAGTAATCACTTCCTACTGATCATATCAACAGCAGCATCTTCTTAGTCAGAAGATATTATGCATTCTGCAGCTTGATGAAACTACTTTTTTGGGCTTTTTAAATCTCTTCTCACATGTTGATTATTTTTGAAATTCCAATGTTGACAATTGTCTGGATCTGTATTATGTATGGTCTATGGAGTGACATGAACTTCATAGAGAACATGTATTTCTTGGCAACTCCACTGCTATATAATGGATTGCCTGGGTCATATTTGAAGTAAGTTACAGCAGACTATAATACCCCTCATCTTTTTTCACTCAGCCTGTTTCCGGTTCCTGGCCACATATGGATGGCTGCTTCACCCTTAGTGAAAGATTTATCAAGTGTTCCAACATTATTTTAAATGAGAAAAACAGAGCAAAATAGCCAATTTTATCCTCAATCCCACAGAATAGGTAAGAAACCCTTTTTCTCATTAAGAAAAATATCCCCACATGTGGGAAGAGATTATAGATTGTATTCCCACTCTCCTCCTGCAACCACCAACGTACAAATACCCTTTACCACATACCATATGAAAATGAAAGTTCATAAAAGTCACCCCATCTCCGCTTACATTCATTCAGTCAGGGAACCAAAGTTTATTGGTTCCCCGCTTTAGAATTGGCACTGGTTTAGCTCATGGTAGGAGAGCAAAAATATTTGTTGTGCGCTAAAAGAGTTTACAATCCAGAAGAGGAAGCAGAATTATATATTCACATATTTAAATAAGATTAAACATACAATAGCTCTTTAAAAATTATAACCCTCTTCATAAAACACCTAATATATCCAGTTCTAATAGATGAGACAAATAAAACATGCTTATGAGGGTTCTGAGTGTCGGAGTATATACTGGGTAATCAGGAGAATGAGAACAAGGAAAAGCCCTATGGCGCATCTCCTACGTGTCAGACATAGACTTTTCTTATTTATTACAACAAGTTTCTGAAATATATTCTTGTTCTATTTTCTAAATATACAAACTGAGGCTCAGAAATAATAGATGGATCATCCAAGATTACATAATTATAAATTACAAACGAAGGCTTTGAAGCCAGTACAGTTTCAACCTAAAGATCAAGACTTTTTTCTGGAATTGAGATTGTTAAATAGTTGGAACCTGAGCTAGATTTTCATTAATGGGTATACAGAAATGGGGAAAAGAACAGAAAAAAACTGGCAGACAAAAAGAAACCAGAAAAAAGACAGAAAAGTGTATAGTGCTGAAGTCAACATGATTAGAACAGATGACTCAAATGTGGCAATAGTTGACAAGGTGATAAAATTGGGTTCTTGAATTCTAGATCAGCAGTGCTAAATTCAGTCCCTCAGGGACTAAAGAATCACTAAGAGCTCCTGACAGAGAAATGGCAAAGTAAACATGAGGTACCAGGGAGGTCTGCCAGGTTGTGGTACATAATGTATGGGGGAATACCGGAGGCAGGGTAGAATACCAGCCTAGACTGACTTTCTAGGAAACTAAAACATCCAGACCAAGTGTCTTTTTTGGTGTGCTCATTTGTCCATATGTGAATGGAGATTTTATGTGGAATGAGAGGAAACAAATTCATTATATTAGAAATGGTAAATAAAACGAAGGAATCAAATGTTTATCTCATCATCCCTCTGTAAACTGTTATACTGAGTAATCAAATAGTGGATGAGGAAAAGTAGCTCCTTTTAAAAGTATTCTGAGTCATACACTTTTTTAAAAAGAGTATCAGTATGGTATGTCATTGTTTAAAACACTTGATGAATTAATAGATATAGCCATTGAACAGGAACATGTACAAACATCACAAAAAGAAAGACAGCCAGGTTATGTGTCTTGCAGTGCAAGACACATAATGCCAACTGTGGCTCTACCAAAGAGAGAGAATAGAGACTGTCTAAGCCTCTGCATTTTGCTGCCAATTTCCCAGAAACTGTACCATAAGTATGTTATCAGTGAACTTCAGACTGTGGGAAACTCTATAGGTCAAATTCCCTGTGTTCTTCAACAATTGTAAGGAGCACACTTTCAAGGAAAAACTTGTAGATTAATAGCCTTAAAACATATAACAATTGTTATTAATGAGCAAGATTAAGCATAGTGTTCTGGGTGATGAAACCATAAATAAAAGCAAGGAAATGATAACTGTAGAAGTCATAGTCGTAGTTACTTTGGAGAAGACGGAAGGGACTGTGACTATGACAGGGCACCCGTAGGTGCTTAAAGTTTTATTTCTTGACCTGAGCAGCAGTTTCAAGAGTGTAATTTAAAAATTGAGTTTCTCAGATAAATACACAAATGGAACAGAATAAAGAGCCCAGAAATAATGCCATACACCAACAATCCTCTGATCTTCAACAAAGTGGACAAAAACAAGAAATGGGGAAAGGACTCCCTATTCAAGAAATGGTGCTGGGATAACTGGCTAGACATAAGCAGAAGATTGAAATGGGACCCCTTCCTCATGTGTCACATACAAAATTCAACTCAAGATGAATTAAAGACTTGAATGTAAAACATAAAGCTATGAAAACTCTGGACTGAAAGACATAATATTGTTAAAATGTCAATACTCCCCAAAGCAGTCTACAATCCCTACCAAAATTTCAGTATCATTTTCTTGTTTTAGAAATGGAAAAGCCAGTAGTAAATTTATATGAAATTGTGAGGGTCTCCAAGTAGGCAAAACAATATTTAAAAAGAAGACCAAAATTAAAAGACTCACACTTCCTGATTTTGAGACTTAACTACAAATCTACAGTAATCTAAATATTGTGATATTAGAATAAGGATAGACAGGTAGATCAGTGGAATAGAATTTTAAGAGTCCAGAAATAAACCCATACATCTATGGCCAATTGATTTTCAACAAGCATGCCAGTATCATTCAATGGAGAAAGAACAGTCTGTTTAACAAATGGTTCTGAGGCAACTGAATACCCACATGCAAAGAATTAAGCTGGACCCACAACTCATATCATATGCAAAAATTAATTCAAAATGAACCAAATATCTAAATATAAGAATTAAAGCCATAAAACTCTTAGAAGAAAACATGGAGGTAAATCTTCATGGCTTTGGATTGGGCATTGGATTCTTAGATATAATATTAAAAGCATGAGCTTACTACATAATTCTACTTATGGTAAATATCCAAAATAGATAAATACACAGAGACAGAAAGCAAATGAGTGATTGCCAAGATATTAGGGAAGGGCAAAATGGAAAGAAACTTCTTACTGAATGAGAGGTTTTGATTCAGAGTAACAGAAATGTTTTGAAACTAGATATGTAGAGGTGGTGGTTGCCAACATTGTGAATTTACTAAATGCCACTAAATCTTTCACTTTAAAGTGATTCATTTTCTATTATGTAAATTTCACCGCAATAAATCATTTTTTAAAATGTGTTAAGCCAGTAAAAAGATAACCTACAATTCCATATATACTTCTTTATAAACTGTAGTATAGACTGATGTATAAATGTAGTCTTTTATTGAGAGGTGAAGAAAAATGAGGAGTTGCTAATTCTGAAATAGTGACTTTAGACAGAGAAAAGTCAGATTCCTTTTCCCACTCATAGTCATTATGGTAATTATTTCAAAATATGAAAAGTTTCCATTTCTCCCCATATATCAAATTCATTCTAACACATTTCCTCTGGCTGAGTGACAACCTGTCTAAACATGTGTTTCTTGCATTTTACAGACATACTTGGCAAGTGCAAGATAAAATCGATGCAAACAATGTGGCTTACACAACTGGGAAGCTAAGCTTTCACACTGATTATCCAGCCCTCCATCATCCACCTGGGGTAAGGTGAATTTCAACATATTTTCCACAATGCAGGCCAATGACCAATATCCTTTCATATTTTGAGTCTAGAAGATTATTTCACCAAGTATTTTGTCTTATATAAATTTTAGTTCTCCAAACATAATCCAAGCTCACAAAATCTCTGTACCTAAATCCTAAATATCCACATTCCTAAAGGAGAGGAGAATTTTATGCATTTAAAACAACAACAACAACAACAAAAACATTTCTTTTTTTCTTCCTAGAAATTACTATTAGCATTTTTTGCTTTGCCAAGACAGATTTTAAGGTAGTAGTAAATCTTGAAGTCTTTCTGCACATAAATTTCTAAGAAGTTAAGAGAGAAAATAGAATCAGTAAACAAAACATAGGGTTTCCTTCAAAGTCGCATGGGCATAATTCATATCAGTTAACTACTGCTGCATTAAAACTCATTCTACCATAAAGACACATGCACACTTATGTTTATTGCAGTACTATTCATCATAGCAAAGACCTGAAACCAACCCAAATGTCCATCAATGATAGACTAGATAAAGAAAATGTGGCACCTAAATGCCATGGAATACAATGCAACCATAAGAAAGCATGAGTTCATGTCCTTTGCAGGGACATGGACGAAGCTGGAAAACATCATTCTCAGCAAACTAACACAGGAACAGAAAAGCAAACATGTTCTCACTCATAAGTGAAAGTTGAACAATGAGAACATATGGACACAGGGAAGGGAATATCATACACTGGGGCCTGTCGGGGGTGGTGGGGGTTGGGGAGGGATAGCATTAGGAGAAATACCTAATGTAGATGACGGGTTGATGGATGCAGCAAACCACATGGCATATGTATACCTATGTGACAAATGTGCACATTCTGCACGTGTATCCCAGAATTTAAAGTATTAGGGGAAAAAAACTCACCCCCTAACTTGATGGCTGAAGAAAACAGCCCTTTACTTAGCCCTTGTTTTTACAGTTTGGGCTGTATTCAGCTGGGCACCTCTTGCCTTCAGTCATATACCTGCAATCAGTTGCTAAGTTAGCTGGGGACTGATTGACTTTCACTGAGATGGCTGGTTTCTGCTCTACTTGGTCTATTGACCACCAGAAGGTGGTGCTATCCCTCCCCAACCCCCACCATCCCCGACAGGCCCCAGTGTATGATATCCCCTCCCTGTGTCCATATGTTCTCATTGTTCAACTTTCACTTATGAGTGAGAACATGCAGTGTTTGCTTTTCTGTTCCTGTGTAGTTTGCTGAGAATGATGTTTTCCAGCTTCGTCCATGTCCCTGCAAAGGACATGAACTCATGCTTTCTTATGGCTGCATTGTATTCCATGGCATTTAGGTGCCCAAGTTTAATGCATATGGCAACTGGAACAATTTTCAGACAGTTGTACAGCTTCTCAAGCCTAGGCTACTCACCTCTGCAATGTTATATTGGTCTAAGGAAGTAACAAATCTAGCCCACATTCAGGAGGTGAGGAGATAGAACCCCCTTGGAGGAAGCTCCAAAATGCATTACAAACTGTGTGACTACAAGGAACAGAATAACAGTGGCTATTTTTGGAAACCATCTACCATCCCATCTATCAGATTCTTGCCAAGGAAGGAAATGCTCATTGTGGATCCAAACATCCCCAGGAGAATCTCTGGCTGGACATTCTTTCTCTACATTTTTACAAAAGTTTCATTTTCCTAATGAGCTACATTTTTACAAAATTATTTTATTACACCAAAAATAAGCTGTCAGGAAATTACCTTTTAAAAGGATATCCCATGCCTATTTTTAGAGCTAAATTAGACTACACGAAACAACCACACAGAAATCTGTGTCTTCAAAGGTAAATGAAAATTTGGGCAATTCTTAACAAAGGAGAAATGGGCCAAAATCACAATTAGCCCATTTTTTCACTATCTTCACTAAACATGTTTTCTCTGTGCCCTTGGTACCCACTGCTCTCACTACTATTAGCTAAACCAGTCAAGTAGTTGACTTTACATGTTTTAAACTATTTTGTTGATTGTAAAACACTACAGGATTTCTTTGAAATAAGTGACTGTAAAACCACCCCTGTAGACACCTTTTTGGGTAAGGGTTGGGGGCAGGAGACACACAGTGTGATTTTACTCTAAATGTGGCTCAGATTTTTCTAAAACTCTAGGGTTCAGAGCCAAATTAATCAGCTCAGCTCATCTTCCAAAGGTAGATTGAATGGAGTGATGCTTAAAGAATGAGACTAGAAAACTAAAAGTTTTGTTTGAATTCTTAAGTAGTCTTCTGTCATTTAAGAATTTAAGTTTTGTTTCTGAGTTAAAATTAAAAGTCTAAGGAAAGGGGATCAAATGACTTCATAAGTTTTTCTGAAGTGTAATAGAATGCTTGACTTTTTTATAGCACATTATACTTTTTCAAGGCAATTTTACTTTCATTACTTTATTTGACTTTTCTTGACATTCCTTTAAGGTAGACAGGATTGATCATGTCCTTTTATGTCAGATGAGAAAATGAAGCACAAGATTCAATACTTTTCTAGGGTGACATCTGATTAATGGGGAACCTGAATTTGAACCCAGGCCTCCATCTCGTTTTTCATTACACCACACTGATCCTGAGCTGGAATTTCTAATTACTATAATTTATGTAGTAAAATAGAATATTTATAGATTTTGTCATAAAATTGAAGACAAGAATTGAGTCTTATTGTTCTTTGTATATCAATACTTTGTTATCTCAATACTTCCATGCACATTGCATGTAATAGAGACATCACAGATATTCTATAAAGAGGCAAAGAAGTGCAACAAACTTGTACCTGTCTCCAGCAAATGAAACATTCAAACTAAGTGACTTGATAGGAGATTTTAGAGTAACAGATGATTCCCAAAATGTCCAGATTCTACTAGAAGAATAAAGCGTAGGCAAACTGTTTATATTATTGCTCAGACTTACATTTTGAATGATTGCAGGGGGGTTTGTGCCAAGGTTTGAGATTTTCTATAACAAATAGAACAAACCAATGTGTTTTTCTGTACAGAGGAAAATAATCTGGAAAATGAGTTACTTGTTGAGAGTTCAGTGGATTATGTGGCGCATGGATAAGGTATCACATCTTTAATGAAACAGAGATGTTGCTTCATTCACTGTCTTGGCAGAAGTCACATGCTGCATAAAGTAACATTTAGAAGGAAAATATTTTTTGTTTCTGAATGACTCGTATGAAATAAAATTGGGTTTTATACATGACAGGCATATATTTGCTTTCTAACCTAGCAATAAAAGTGTTGTCAGGCTTCATCATCTTTTTTCTATTGAAAGATTGTATTAAAAGTGTAACTGTAAAAAAGAAAGTAATAATAGGCTTTGACATATATAAATAACATGAGCTGACCTTTTTAAAGATTAGCATTTGAAATATTCTGTCAGTTCATGAAGGCGAAAATCTAAAAGGATTTAAAGAATACTGTGATCCTCCAAAAACAAAGTTATGCTATTATTTTGCTACTCTGACCAGTTCCTTCCTCAAAAATAAAATAATGATAATAATAATAACCCTATATAACACCACTGGCCTAATACTTTGCAGCTCAGTTCTGACTACATTACTTTCATATTCAAAAGCCTTCAGTGAGTTTCCTCTATGCACAAGTACAAAAGCCCTTCATCTGATATATAAGACTCTCCATCATGAGACCTCAAATTGCCCTTCCAACCTGATTTACTCTTTCTGTTTATGGCCCTCTGCTGTAGCCAGACCTTTTATTATCCAGGGAACTGTGCATTATACATCATTATTTCTGTCACCTGACTTGCTTTCTCTTTCTATTCTGCATATTCCAAATCTTATCCATTTTCCTCTACCTCACTTACACCCCCTTCCCCTGGAAATCCTTCCCTGCCTACTCCAACATCAAGTGTTCCATTTCTGCAGCTATTACAAGCTATACTTTTTGCTTGCTAATGAGCATTATTATGTCTGCATCTATGTCTTCAACTGTAACATGTTTGGACTATACAGTATTAAATTATAAGCTACTTTTTCTTCCCAACTCTTTTTTCTGATGGCATAAGAAAGACCAAACAAAAAAAGTTTGTTGCCTTTGGTTCATCATAGCTTTTTGAATCTTTAACATAGCATCAAAAAACTGTGCAGGCATATTATTATTTATTTTATTGATTATTTAATTCTAATAATTAAATTTTAATTTAATATTTATTTAATAATCCCTATTTTCTTTTTGTAGGTTCAGCTTCTTCACTGCATAAAGCAAACAGTCACAGGTGGTGATACAGAAATTGTAGATGGGTTTAATGTGTGCCAAAAGCTAAAGAAAAAAAATCCTCAGGCATTCCAGATTTTGTCCTCTACCTTTGTGGACTTTACAGACATTGGAGTGGATTACTGCGATTTTTCTGTTCAATCAAAACACAAAATTATAGAGTAAGTACTATTTATAAATTTCCCATAGCAATAAAACTATTGACAGCAAAATCTCCATTAACCTAAAGTTTAAACAGCACAAAACATCAATGAACGTCAAGGAGGTTTATTTTTATTAACATTTAACCTAATTTTACAGTGATAAAAAGTATTTTTACCATAAATTTTTTTGTTAAATTACATGAAATTTATTCCTAATTAATATTAGAGGAAAATAACTGAGATTTTATATATACTTCATTTTTAAAATATAAGTTCTATATACTTATAATCAATGTGATTATACTAGTCAGAACACTTTGGCCGGAAGTGAAAGAATATAACTCAAAATAGGTTGATCCAAGAGTTAAACAATGTCATCTGATATTGGTCTCTTTTTTCTTCTTAGCTTTACCATCTTCTATGTTAGCTTAATTTTCAAAGATGATCAGCAGAAGCTCCAAGTATTCATTGTCCTTAGAGCTAGCAATCACACCACAAAGAATGCTTTTATTTCCCAATAGCTACAACAAAGCTAGATGACTCACTCCCTAATTTCCCTGAATGAATCATCATGGCCAGTGGGTTGGAGAATTCTGATTGTCCATACCGGGATCACATGTTCAACTCTGGAGCAGGGTCAGCCTCATCTGAACTACACGGACTGAGAATGAAATAGGGAGACTCCCCAAAGAGACGCTAAGCCAGCAAAAATCATATATTACCTACACAGAACATTTTTTGCTCTTCCTTTCTTTTTATTTAACATTATTTTATCATAATTTTTTCAAGTACCTACAAAGGCCACAAATTCACCCTTTTATTTGAGAATTATCTTGCATTTTGTTTATAGGACAGTTTTTAAATTATACCTCAATTAATTGTGGGGGGGGGGTATAATTTAAGAATTGAGTTTAAATTTTTCTTATAAGAGAAATAGCCAAATGGTGAGAATAAACTCATTTAGAAAATCATTAAATCCCCAGTACATTCGTTTAGTCATTCAACAAATATTTATTGAGGTCAGCCACTTTTCTTGGTATTTGGAATACATCAATGGACAAAACAAAGATCTCTCCCCTCATATAGCTTACACTCTAATGGGGCAGAGGAAAATGTAAAGATTTTTAAACAGATTAGCAAATTATACTAAATGTTAGGCCGAGCATCTTGGCTTATACCTGTAATCTCAACACTTTGGGAGGCCAAGACGGGTGGATCGTGAGGTCAGGAGTTTGAGACCAGCCTGACCAACATAGTGAAACCCCATCTCTACTAAAAATACAAAAATTAGCCAAGTGTGGTGGTATACACCTGGAATCCCAGCTGCTCAGGAGACAGAGGCAGGGGAATTGCCTGAACCTGGGAGGCAGAGGTTGCAGTGAGCCTAGATTGTGCCAATACACTCCAGCTCAGGGGACAGAGCAAGACTCCATCTCAAAAAAAAAAAAAGTTAAAAAATTGTGAAGTGCTCAGGAAAAAAAGGAAAACCAGAGCAGGATAAGGGAAATCTGTAGGGCTTAGCAAGGATGGAACTTGCGTCATTAAACAATGTGGTGAGGGAAAGCTTTACTGAGATTTGAGCGAACACTGAAAGGAGTGAGGGAGTTTTCAGAAGAGAAGTAGTTTCCTAAAACTGCTAGACCAAAAGTTCTAAAAGGGTCCTAAGAACATCTCTGGGGTGCCCAAGGAACAGCAAGGAGACCAGTGTGACTAGGAGAGTGAAGGAGACAAGTATTAAGTATTAGGGTAAGAGGGTCGGTGGGGACGCGTTCATGTAGAGTCTTGTTAGCAAATTATAACAGTGGCATTTACTCTGAGTGAAATAAGAAGCTGCTGCAAGATACTGATCAAAGGAAAGACTTTTATATTTATGTAAATTTAGTTAATTTTAATTTTAAATGGGTCCCCTTGACTGCTAGAAAGAGCAAGGATAAGGGCAGGAAGACCAGCTAGGAAGCTACTGCATGACGCCAGGCTAGCAATGGTGGTGCCTGGAACGTGAGTGGCCGGAGTGACAGCAGAGGTGAGGAGGGTCAGTTTTTGGTTACATTTTGCATGTATAAAGAGATCATTTTCCTGAAAGACTGGAGGATGTGTCTGAGAAAAAGATAGATGTCAAGAATGAAATTCTAGTTCAGAATAAACCTGAGACATTTTCTGAGAATTCAGTCATCAAAGTGAAAAGGAAGTAACGTGAGATTCTTAGTTATAACATGACAGTTTTAACTAGTCAAATATTACTTTAAAAAATCATGACAAATTGGAGTTTTGTTGAGACACAATATGATTACAGATTCCGCAAGGCTAGTAAACGGAGGCAGGAAACACAGCTATAGATTAGATTAACTGAATGTCCACCATGCGGCTCATGATTTGGCTTTGATATTTTCTGTAGTAAAATTTCAAAATTTGGCCATCTGTGAGGTCTCAGGAATAACCCCTAGAGTATAAATATCAAGTGGTTAACATTCATTCACTTAAAAGTATATTTTCAAAAACAGGAAATGAAACAGAGTATTTCAGTTAACAGAGGGCCTCCGTCTCCTAAGTGTTTGGGTTAATTTAGTTCTCCTTGTGATTAAATTTTTACATTTTTATGTCCTCCTACCAGAATGTCTTTTATGCTACTGAATGAGTTAGTTACAATTCAGTACAATAAAGAATAAGCCAAAACAGAAACGAGGAAAATTAATGATGTTGAGACTCAGCTATCTTCTCAGCTACTAATTCTATCACCTAAGTCCAAGTCTTTTACTTGCCAGCTGTGTAATCGCTCATGTGATTATTTACCCTTGATGATCCACAGTATCTTTTCCAGTCAAAAAAAATGAAAACAGAAAAAGACTACTACATACAATTGAAGTAGGAATTACAGAGTTAATATATGGAAGCCCCTACTATTGTGCCTAGTTTCGAAAATGCAAAATAAATTTTAGCTAGCTATAATTTGCATAAAGTCTAACACACTTACTGGGGACAGATTTCTATTTCAGGTCTGAGTTTCTAGAAACCAAAGTAAGAGGTGAATATAATCAGTTACAAGACAAGATGCTTTTGAAGTCTGAAATACATTTTTCCTGCAGATCCTCATAAATTATGGCATGGCAGACAACACTGTAACGGCATTCCCACAAAGAATGCAAGACGTTCTATAAAGCATTGTATCTGCCAATGGGACATAAAGCTGTTACTAATGAAGAGTATTTACTGCCTAACTCTGAGTGTAGACATCATTGATAATGTTTTGCTTTTGCTGGTTCACAGCCACCATGTTGTTGGTTTAAGTTTAACTAATTTATCCTTTATGCAGAGCTCATATATAGCCAGTTATTCCCACGTTTTGTGGATTTTTACCTTTTCTCTGCATGCAAACTTACATTAGATCCTTTCATTCTGTTGGTAGGCATCAAATATCTTGCTAACATTCAATTTTACATTTTAGGTTGATCTTCAAGGTACCAGCTACCCATCTCCTCTAACATTCTTCAATCCACAGAACAATAAAGTCTCCTCTAGATCTTATAACAAAATTTGCTTTCCATTCCCCTGTTATTGCTGAGAATGCTAAATAGTGAATTGTGTCGTGTTTTCTCAGATAAACAGTAGGTAAAAGAAAGCAGAGACTGTGTTACACTACAAAACAAAACAAAAAATTGACTACTTTTCTATATAGGTGAACTCTTAAAAATGAAAGCCAAATTTAGTATACCACGAGGCATCCAATTCCGATTTTCATTACATTTATTAATCACAAAGTTCCTTTCACTGATACATGAGGATATGCCCAAGGACTCTAGAATAGATAGCTCATAATTAGCATAATCATTCAAATCAATGAGCTATGGTAGTAGTGGGAAAAAAATAAAGCAGATCTTGAGAATGACTGAAACAGAGGACCCCCAGAAGTTCCAAAGTCATGACATCCTTTGGCAGATGACCTAGAGGAAAATGTTATATGTACAGAACACATAACAAGAATAAAAAGGAGGAAAAGTAGGTCAGAAGCAGTAGGGCTAGAATCTTGAAGGTAATATTAAAAGGCAAATGGCCTTTACTGTGACAGAGGTCTGAAACCAGCAGCATGAACTCTAAGGGGTATTTAAAAGGTCATGTACTCTATACCACTAAATCCTAGAGGTATATAGTCTTTCTACTGACTTACCTTCTACCTGATTCTTTGTACATAAAGCCATAACTGAAAGGCTCAGAATATTCTTGATTTATGTGAAAGCATGTGGAAAGGGATGGGGTACTGCATTACCTAGTGAGTCATATTTGTATTATTATTAATATATGTAAATACATATTTTAAAAGCCTAAGAGCCTTTTTAGAAGCCTGTTCCTTCCTTTTACTTTCTTTCCCAGTGTGGGTTCAATAGGTATTTTTTAGGCCTTATCCAATAAGCAAAGAATTGGTGCTAATCACCAACTTTTGAGTTTACCATTACAATTGTCATTTGGCCCAGAGCCACCATGCACAAGGGCCCTGATAGTCACAATTTGTACTTCATTGTGAATGGCATCTTTCCCCATTGTTGATAATATTCACTAAGTATAATCCAGACGCCAAACGAGGGTCACCAAACCCAGGTATATGTAATGACGTGTTTGGTCTGACCTACCAGGGCTGGGCTCTGGTCAGTTGTTGGCTTTCATTACCACTTCCTAGGCTTGTCTTACCTGGATGCTGCTCCTGGGATTAATCCTAAGGCACTTTGCCACCATTCTTGACCACCTTCAGTTTGCATGCATTCATCCTGTTTCTACCTAAAGAAAAGAAAAAGGTGATTGACACTTTAAAACTGTCTGAAGGTCCGCCTTCCCAATAAGCTAGAAAAAAGTTTCCTTTTTTTGCCACTGTATCTGGGTGATGTCATGTCTTGCTAATTATAACCACCAAAGTTCAAATCTAAGAAATGATGTTCTTGCCTTCCTTCCTTATTTATTTATTTTTGAGACAGAGTCGTACTCTGTTACCCAGGCTGGAGTGTGGTGGTGTGATCTCAGCTCGCTGCAACCTCTGCCACCAAAGTTCCAGCAGGTGCCTACCACCACACCCAAATAGCTGGGATTACAGGTGTGTGCCACCACGCCCAGCTATTATTTTTTTGTTTTTTGTATTTTTAGTAGAGACAGGGTTTTGCCATGTTGGCCAGGCTGGTCTTGCACTCCTAACCTCATCTGCCTCACCCACCTTGGCCTCCCAATGTGCAGGGATTACAGGTGTGAACCACCATGCCCAGCCTTCTTTCCTTATATTAAAAGCTGTATTGACTTACATTGGCATGATCATAATCCATATCTTAAGAAAGAGAATAGAGATCACAACATTAAGAGCTCTCAATTTGCTGAAAAAAAAAAAAAAACCTTAGTACCCTCCCAAGCTACTAAAAACTATAGAGAGTGACATGAGCAACAAATATTTATTAACTACCTGTTATATCCAGGCTCTATGTTGAGTGTTAGGAATACAACACTAAATGAGATACAGCACCAGTGTTCTGGAAGCCTAAATACTAAGATAGGTAGAATGAGTAAACAGATAGAAAAAATGGACCTCAGCCTAGTCTCTTCTTTTCTCATGCTTCAGTTTTCCCATCTATAAACTAAGGATTGAATTATTCATGCATTTCAAACTTTTAAAACCAGAACTTTCTTCCCATCTTACACCCCAAATAAAACCACCACACTTAGAACGTTTAATAAATGAGATACATAAAACAATTGACCTGTAAATTCATAACATGAAAGAATGTTAATAAATATTTGAAAAAGTATTTGTTTCAAAGAATAAAGAATGAATGAATTTAAGCATAACAAAATTTTTAACTTGAATCGCTCAGTAATATTTAATTTAAGTTGAATTCTACTGGCCCTGAGGTAGTAAGATTTAGAAAAATATCTAAATGAATGAATGAAAAAACAAGGAATACATTGCATCACAGGTAACCTTAAGATCTTCTGTACCTGTATTTGGATTTTTTCATATGGTGTTTCAAAAATATCTTTGAAAAGGCATTGATCCTTATCAATGTAAATAGATATTTCATGAATGATATATCAACTTTGTCTCTTAAAAAAACAGGTTAGATGATAGAGGCCAAGTGGTTCGCATCAACTTCAATAACGCAACTAGGGACACAATATTTGATGTGCCAGTTGAAAGAGTTCAGCCTTTTTATGCGGCTCTGAAGGAGTTTGTTAACCTCATGAACAGCAGAGAATCCAAGTTTACCTTCAAGATGAATCCAGGTCAGTGAATACATTTTCTCAAACAACCAAAAGCATGGATTTTCTTCAACCTGAACCATCTAGAATGATAGCCAGAGCAGTTCTTCTCAGGTATGGCATGCAGAACACGTATAACAGAATGTTGGTGAGCAGCTGACTTGATTAAGTAGTGGACTCCTGGCCCTCACTAAAACTTACTACACTTAGTTTTTCTATCCTGATAAACAAATAAAAAGATCCTCATGATTCTTACTCTAACATACACAAGTAATGTTTATTCATTAGGCTTACTAGCAGAAACAGTACTACCTGAAATAAAGTAGTACCTGAAGTATTCTAGTTACTTGAAATAAAAAAAGCAGAAGGCATCATATTTTTTATGGACCATCTCTACTCAGTAAAGTACCATCAAACCTGAGGCTTTTGGCATCTACAATAAAAGGCACAATTTCTGTCTACTGTTGATTTGGCCAAATGGAAGACTCTTTTCCTTTGTATATATTTTTAATTGATCTTTGGAACAATAAGTTAATCGGAATATCCATAAATCAACTGCCATGCCGTCACAGCAGGTTAATTTTTTAAATGGCAGCATATAAAATGAAAACATTATAGGTGGAAAAATACAAGTTAGAATCCATGCTTCAACCGTTTAATGGCAGTGTGGCTTTGGGTAAATTCCTCAATTTTTCAAAGCTTTGGTTTCTTCATGTGTGAAAAGATGAGAGAATATTTTCTTTTCAGGATTCTTAGGAGGCTTAGAAATAATGTTACATAAAATACTAGGCACACGGAAGACAAACCAAGAATGGCAGTATCCTTTTTATTTTTTGAAGCTGTTAAACTGAGAAGAAACATTTCTAATTAGGTATCGATCAGCCAAAATGATACAGACGTTTTACACAGAGATAATATTTTAAGTAAGAATGATTAAAGTACCTTTAGGAGCCTATCAGACTAGGTAGTTTAATTGTCATAAGGCCTAAAGCAATTTGCATTCAGTGGCCTGGTTTGCATGGAAAAGTAAATGTGCAGTTTTATGTAAAGAAATAAGCCATGGTTCTTGATATGAACCAAGTAGCAGCTCTGTGTTGCATGTTACATTTTCTAGCTCTGTAAGTCATTTAAACACACAATTATTCATACTGAAAAAAATGTTTTCTTTAGGTGATGTGATTACTTTTGATAACTGGCGCTTACTTCATGGCCGACGTAGCTACGAAGCAGGAACTGAGATATCCCGCCATCTAGAAGGAGCTTATGCCGACTGGGATGTGGTCATGTCAAGGCTTCGTATTTTAAGGCAGAGGGTCAAGAATGGAAACTGAAATCTCCTGTCTATAATTTTAGTAAGATTCCAATGAGGATATTTTGTAAGATATGGCACATTATTCAAAGACCATGATCTGGGTCATTTACATAAAATTTCCTTAACAATGAACATGTAACTTCTCTCACAAGAGTACTCTACTTTGTAATCATATACAATGTCAACTTTTTAGATGTTTCAGCACTCTTTTGCAAATAAAGCATCTTTTCTGCTCTGTCACATGCATGCTGTAATTTCTTTTGCCCATATATGAGTATCTCCAGAATGTCTACAAATAGATTTTGTAGCAAATGAAACATTTCTTCAAATAAGCCTTTTGTTTCAAATAAAACTTGTCTTAAAACATGCTTCTACCCTGTTGCCTATAGGATCTCATTTTCTAAGACTGCACATTACCATCTTTAGCATGCTTGGAAAAGGCTTTATATTTCCAAAAATCTGTTTTATGTACTTTTATTATAGAATTCTATTATCCAAATTTTCAGACCTCACAAATTTAGTGATTCCAATACTTTCTTTTAAAACCTAAATTATGACATCAAGACAAAGCATGATTAATAAAGAGAAAATCTAGGTTCAAGCAATTCTCCTGCCTCAGCCTCCCTAGTAACTGGGATTACAGACGCCTGCCACTATACCCAGCTAATTTTTTTGTGTTTTTAGTAGAGACGGATGTTAGCATGTTGCTCAGGCTGATCTCAAACTCCTGACTTCAGGTGATCCACCGGCCTTGGCCTCCCAAAGTGCAAGGCTTACAGGCGTGAGCCACTGCACCTGGCCTAGACTCACTAATTTTCTCTTGTCCCAAATAAATATTCCCAACCATGATCAGCATTGCTCCCAGTGTCCATGAATCAGATTTCCTCATTTCTTGTTTTTGACTAACGACTGGAAAAGGAAAAACCAAGAGACTTGCACAACTGATAAATAACGTGATGATGTCTGCAAATCTATGGACAGCTCTACCTATTGGTCCCAGCTTTCTCCATAGTCACTGCCTTGCCCTAGTGATGGAACACAGATATCACTGCCAGCAACGGAAGTCCTATTCCCATTGAATCCAGTCTCTCTCTATGCCTGCCAGAAATCCTTAGCATTGCCATTTGCTGAAATCCTGGTAGTTCATAAATTTTTGGACCTAACCAAGCTTCCTGTTCAAAAAGTAATTATTGCTACCACTGCGGAGCTCTCTACCTGTTGCTTCAAGACCAAGTGAAAACATTGCTTCCATCATTGTTTTAACTTTTGCTGCACTTCAATTTCCATAAAGTGTGCCCATGGCACTGGAAATCTAGATGAAGAGCACCTTAAGCCCATGTGGGCACACGACTCTGACACTTTGAATTCTGGTATGAAGTCTACATCTCCAGTCAAGCCTCCTCCTTCCCTTATAACACTGCCCCTTTATGGGGCCCTCATTGTCCTTTTGTATTATCTGGTCTTGATTTGGGCTACTGCAGTATATCACATGTTTGATTCCTTTGAACTACAAAGGGAATGAGTTGGGTTCTCAATCCCAACCCTCCCAAAATGCTCCTAAAATAAAAACAGGCAAATTCCATAGGCATGACCTGGTTCTAAAAGGCAACATTCAATACATAAAAACAAATAATTTGCTAGAGTGACCCTAGATTCATCCATTCATAGCATCTAAACCAAAGGTACTTGCCCAGCTAAAGTCACTTCTTATACTTTTTTACTTATTTGACAGATATTTATCACATATCTAATATATGTCAGGTACCCTGCTAGATTAAAAATACTGAAGGACTTGAAATGTACCTTCTTAGAGTCTGGTAGGGGAGCAGATAAGGATATAGATTACAATGTGACATGTTAACAGAATGATCCACAGGAAGGCAACTAAGCCAGACTGGGAATGCTAAGAAAAGCTTCAGTGTGAGTTAAATTATAAAGGTTCATAGTACTTTTCCAGGAAAAGATGGTGAAATGACTCCAAGTTAAAGGGCAGAAGAAGCAGAGAGAATTAAGAGTGGAAACATGGCATGCATTGACTTACAAGTGAAAGAAATAGATTACGATGTAATGTGAATCTAGGCTTATATGCCTAGGTTCAAACCATAATAATGAATCAGTTAGCCATGTATCTTTGGACAAATAACTGTTCCCCTTAAACCTCATTATTTCTGTTTATAAATGAAACTAAAAACATACATTATCCCAATTAATTTTTATGAGGATTGAATGAAAGTTCATGTAAAGCAGTGTTTTCTCAAATTTCTCAGATAAGTCACATTCATGGTGCTTTTTTAAAAAAAAAATACAGCTTCCCAGATCATTCCCTGAGGATTATGATTCAATGGGTCTGGGATGAGGACCAGGAATTATATTTTTAGCAAGGATCCCAGGTGATATGCATCATCAATGAAGGTTGGAAAATACTGATATAAAAAATTTAGCATAGTTCCAGTATCAGGGTTAGTACTCAATAGACATTAACTATAAATTAGTTATAAAAGCAGAGTTTGTAGAGCAAGAGGGTGAGTTAGGTTCAGAAGGGATATATGAAGCTGGAAACAGAAACAATGATCAAGTCATGAAATGTCTAAACGCATGTTGCATTAAGGAGTTAGTGTTTCATCTTGAAAGCAATTAGGAGCCACTTAAAGGTTTTTAAGCAGCAAAGTGCCTTGATTAGATATTCATTTTTTAAAGATTCATCTAGCTTCATTGTGGAGGGAATTATAAACGGGCAAGAGAAAAGATCATAAATCTATTTATGAGGTTACTACAGGAAGCCAGGTGCAAAATTAAGGAGCATTGAATTAGAACACTGGAAGAGGAAATGGAGAGATACTTAGAAGGCAAATCTAGAGGACTTGACCCACTGCATGTAAAGAATGAGGGAGATATCTAAGTTGTTGTCTTACCAGTTTATAGTTAGGAGAAATGGGTTAGGCACAGGGAAAGAGCCACAATAGTAGGATCAAGCTTGTTCAGCAATAAAATCAGTTCAATTTTGAACAAACTGAGCTTGAGTTGCCCTGAGCTATTCCATCTGGCAGTTGGATATATGTGCACATAGACCATGGGTCAGAAATCTGAATTAGAGGTCTATACTTGGAAAGTATATAAATGGTAATCGAAATCATCATTTTTTTTTTCCTGGAGACATTTAGTGATGTGACAAAAGTCACAACCCTAATGGTTTGATGATAAGCTAATGATATTGGCCTAGCTTATGGAATCAGTTACATTCAGAATCAGAGAAGGTTTATATTCAAAATCAGATAAATCTCTTACATATTATATTTTGTCTCTAAACGACAGCATTCCAAGCCACTACCCCCTGGCCTGGCTGTTTCATTCTCTGCTGCAAATATTATTTCTGCCCTGGAAAGGAGAGACAGAAGGCTTGGATTCAGTTAAACAATTTCTAAAGTGTTATATAGGACATGACATATTATGGGCTACAGCAGCTGGTGCTAACTGAAGATGATTAGGTTTCCTGGATATAATTGTCTAAAGATTTGACTTCTTCCCAAACTCATAATAGACCTGATGTAACTTGGATTAGAATTTACCCCTATTTGGCAGTATGGACTCTTACTCTCTGTTCCATTTCTCTGATTTGACTTGGAGAATGTTAGCTCCTTGGCTAGTTCATCAAAATAACTCCACAGGTCACCAGAATTACATGTCACAAAGTATTTTCACTGGTCTCTACTTCTCTCCCCAGTCAAACATTAAAGAGTGGGCAAATGAATATTGGTAGAAAGAATAAGAAAATAAAAAGAAATTCTATAGAAAACCAGAGTGATGTGGAGGGTAATTTATCTTCAGGGATTTAAACTGTGAAACAAGAGGTATTGTATTAAAAAATACTCCTTTATGTTAAATAACATTTTGAGGAAATATATGAACCAAAATTTCGTGCAATGAAGATGTAATGTGGTTGGACTTTATGGTTTGGAAAACACCTTTGAGTCTCTGTACATTTTTTCCAGCTGTCTGGAATACCCTACTCTACCATGCTTTATGCCTGGAAAGGTCCCCCTCTCCCTTCAAAGATCAGCCTAAGATTGGTCACTAAGATGATAAAGCAGGAGGTTCCCCACTCATATCCTACCACAGCAATTACAGTTTGGCAGCCATCAACAGAAAAAAAAGTGCCTTTGAAGAAGCTTTGGGAACCAGGTAGGAGGTTTGAAATCCAGTGAAGCTCAAGACCAAAAAGGGCTGTTTTGAGAAGGTAAGTCTACATCCGGGTGTAAGGCTCACTGACCATGGTACCAGCTACAGAACCAAAAACAGCCCACAACTTCCTATGGACTTAGATACATATCTGTTTAGCATTGGTCTTGCCAGCAAGGGACTCAGAAGTCACACACCCACTCCATGCCTTAGATAACAGTCTTGCTGATCACAGTCAGCTGAGGACACTAAAGCAGCCTGTGACCCAGCTCCAGTCCTGTAATCCACCAGGATCCGTGCCCCTGGAGGCAGACTTGCCCACTTCAATTTCAGAGCAGATCTTGAAATAATCCTGCAACTTGGCTCCAGCCCCTCTCAGTTGCAGACCAAGAATTGTCCTCCTCTAAAGAGATCTGCCAAAAGACATAACCATTCATGTCCCAAGAAGCAGGCCTGACAACTTCAGTCAGACTGCAGATCTTGAAGCAGTCCTAGAAAATTGTTCCTGTGAGCCCAGCAGGTGGCATACATATACATACACCTGGAGGCAGACATAAAGGCTACAGTCTCAGATATAGATGCTGAAGCAGTACTATAACTTGATTCCAGGCCACCCTGCCCAGGAACCCACCCAGAAACTTACCTAGTAACCTGGTAAGAGCCATTCAAGGGGACTGGCAGAGGCCACAACTGTCCGTAAACCAGATAGCATGCCAGCTGCCTGTGAACCTAACTGCTGCAGACCCTGAAGTAGGCCCTGTTCCAGCTGCAATCTTGCTGGCTGAGGTCCTGGAGGCAGTCCATTCTACCCAGAGGCCAGACAGGATCTAACCAACCAATTTCTGGTAATAGACCTACCAATCACTGAACCCATGATGGACCCATCAGCAGTCATGCAAACTGACCTCAACTGTGATCCTAGAGGCAATGCCATCAGGGCAAGGACCCAACAGGAAAAGGTCTTTACCTGCCAAACCCAATCTGTAAAAATTGGAAAAGGCATTTGCTCCTTAAAATGCATAGACACCAATACATGGCTACATGAACCACAGTGAATGAAGGCAAACATGACATCACTAAAGGAAATTAAAGTTTCAGTACTCAACCCCACAAAAATGAAGATCTATGAATTTTCTAATAAATAGCACAAAGTAATCATCTAAAAGAAGCTCAACAAGATGCAAGAAGACAGGATA